CAGACAGTTGAAAAAAAAAATTCCTTGTGAAAACAAAACATACTGTGGTTTTAATGTAATAATATGCATTGTTTTGTTGGTGAATGAATGTATGCAAAAGTTAAAAAAAACAAAACAATTACACTGCTTTAGTCGCAAACCATTCCAGTTGTATAAACTGGTCATGCGATTTCACAGGCTTGTCATCAAGTTACAAATCATTGATTATATGTGCAACTTATTTGGGATTATTATTAGCGTACAATATCAGTAAAATTTATTTTTATCATAAAAAAACCAAAAACACTTTATGTGGAATGATATCCACCATGATTGTTTCATGTAAGAGTTAACCTAAAACTTCACCCTTTGACTGTGTAGGTCAAATTGGATGTTAACTAATCATGTAGTATTTGACAATTTACAAATAAGCACTAGATGCTGAACACAACAAAATACAACACAGAGCCTTTCGGTGAAAAAATTGTTTTTGTTTTTTTAAAGAAACAGATATTAGGATTTTCAGGAGATAAACTGATTAATGAAAAAGTGTTATAACATTTTTCAAGGTTATAACAGCTCATTGTCAAACAGAATCTAACCATTCATAGTACAAGTACTTAAAAATTTATAGGGTTCAGTGACTACGAAAAACTTAAATTGGACTATTGAATTAATAAAACTTTGATCTGAGCTCGATATTTTCTGTGACTTATAAATTGTCAATGTAAATTTTGTAACCGAAAGATCGCCCACCTGCTGAATCATCACCAATGGGTGAGGTTTAGGAGGGGCATTGTATAAGACAAACAAGCTAACGGAGCAAATGCTATGTGCTTAAATATAACAACTCATTGTAAATGACATTACTCGATAGTTGTCGGTGTTCTCCCCAGAAAAATTGCATACAGCATCGGTCAATTTGCATAACAATATAGTATGTTAATGAATTCTATTGTATTCATTGTTTTGCTAAATTGAATCTATTGTTTATCCAAAACAGTTGGGAACCCTTACTCTATAATGCCGTGGGAAGAACGCTAGTTGTGTTTAGGCAACAGACGCGTATAGGCTAAGATCAGATTTAGCATACATGTATGTTTGCACATCAGCTCCACCCAATTGTGTTCACATTTTGTAAGAACTGAGGTACGACCAATCGAATGAATAATTTACATGTACAATTTTCTAGGTCCATAAGCTTTTTCAGTACAGTAACCAGGGAGATAAACATTTTAGCTCCATAATTATAGAACACTGACAATGTGAATGCTAACAAGGAAAAATGCAGCAAGTGAAAGCTGCAGAATAATAGGAAATGCATTTAGTTTCATTGTCGTCCACGTTTTCTTGAAAACTACATCTCTGAATATGCTGTCATGTCGGAAAGGAATGAATATTTGTAAATTTTGCCTCCTCGTTTCACCCCATCCAAAATGCTCCCAATTTGATTGTATTCATAAAATGCATCTGAAGTGTCTCACTGTCTGTGTACCAGCTTTGCTCACAAGAGAGAGAGTATTTTGATTTAAAGATTTTTTTCAAGATCCATATGATCACCAGTCAACTACATTTCACCAGGCCAAAAAAAAAATTGTGTGGTATAGTAGATCAAGTTTTTCAATTTTTCTCTCCCGTTATTTCACTTGCTAATTAGATAAAGGGCAGTGGTTGTCATGCACGAGATAAGAGTCTATTATAAATAAAGATGGCGACTTTGACTATTGCGCAGATCAACAAGACGTTACCAAGATTAAATTAGTTAATTTTCTTAGGTGATTGGAAGATATTGAAGGAGTCAGCGATGGTAATTAGTGCAAGTCGCACCCATGTCAAAACTCATACTTGTGATTTCCATTGGAATAGTGTATTGGATTGTGGAAAAATCAATGTTTATCAACACAAATGTCTAACATGCGCAGCATAACGACCACTGCCCTTCAACTAAACTAATGTTTGATGTTTACAGAAAAGTTTTTTCAATTTGGCTATTTTTTTTTTATAATTCAGTACTATGCATTTTGTGAACGCATGAATTTATTTAATATCAATATTTAGAAAATTCAAATGATGGTTGAAAACCAATCACCACACGTTCAGGATGCATAGCTGAAAATTGATTAATGACTGAATTAAACCTGCAAACAGAGCATCTTTGGATTTGAATGAAGTGCGAGGATCATCCAGGGTTACATTTTACAAATGTCAATAAAACATATGTATGGCTTCATGAAATACACAGTATTATTATTGAAATCTTGTGTGAATTTGTAAATGTTTGGCCAAAAAAGTTTAGAGTAGGGCAATTTTAGGTTATGTCACATAACACAATATAAATGATGACTTTCAGCATTTGCTTTCAGTAAAGGAATTGTCATTAAAAACTCAGCACAAAATTTTGAGCTAATTTTTTTTTCAAAGAGGATATTGGAGTAACATTTTCGCTTTCCTCTATTTTGTATGAAGATATTGTTTCTTGAACTTTCCGTTATTTTTTTAAAAAAAACTTCATAAATTTCAACTGTGCATATTTTTTTCCAAATCTGACATCTCCAGATATTATTGGTTGACACCTATGTTTTTACTGTTAAAAAGCTTTGTCAAAGAGGAGTAGAGGGAGAGCAAATTTTGAAACTGGTGGGAATATCAAGCAATTTCGAGCACCTTCGAAAAAATGGTCGTGAATAATGTTTTTCACGATTCACTATTGTCTATAAATTATAACACCCCTTTCCTCATCACATACACCGTAACACGTACATTTTTTTCTGCAAGACCTGTTAGTATGGATATGTTAGGTGTTAACATAAGAGTGTAATCGCCTCGAGAATTATTCAAACGACGAAAAGATGATCAATTTTACAACTGTACGTTATAATGTATCGAAACTTAAGTATTGGTCCGATCGATCAGCTGTCGTCGGGCCAGTACTGTACAGTGCAGTGATCTTCGCAGGTCGAGGTCGCTTCCCATCGAATAGGTTTTCTAACCAATACAATCGCCTTACCCTTCGAATCCGCTATATTTTTCTTGATGTCCATTGTTCCATCTTCAACCAGTTCTCCCAACATTGCTCTGGATTTAGTTTTTTTTACAAATATATTGATCAATGGACGACCAATATACCAAATGTTCGAAGTTGGCGGGAAGTGAATGGGAGAATAAATTTCATTGGATCAACAAGACACGTGACCAATTGGCAGTCTGCGTTCTCGTCATCTGCGCGATTTTCTGCAGATCTCGAAAAACTCGCGATCTAAACATGCGCAGTAAAGTCCAGGTACGTCACATTTTACAATTTCTCGTATAAAGTCGTCTGATTCACCACCGTTTGATCGCTGTTAGTGAGTTTTCAACACGATTTTCTAACCGTCGCGTTAATATTACAGGAAAAACTCAATATTTCTTAGCAGCGTCCGTTACACAGGAGGTCAAGATGTCGCTTGCGGGCTTGAAAAAACAAATAAACAAAGCGAATCAGGTAAGTGAAATGGGGATTTGTTGTGACATGATGACGGGCGGAAGAGGGAACAAATGGAATATCATGTGTGGTACACAACACACATACGGACGTGGATATTCGGACGAACGGACGGAGTTTATTTTCTGCTTCTTTACGCCACTATGAAAAGTCGTTTTGCCTCTAGTATGAGCGATGACAAGTTACCAGTTGTCAGTATAAAATATTGTACGCAACCGCTGTACATTCCTAGTACTTGAGACGATTTTGGAGATATGGGTGCGCAGCATTCGTAATAAGCATACATAGGTACGGGGGTTTGTGAATTAACTATTAGGGGGCGGGGCAATGTTATTTATTTCAAAAAACAGAAATGTTCGTGTGTACGTGTGTCGGGTTAAGATAGTGATTGGAACAAGAGACATACACAGGCCAATCTTAAGAATACTCCGATTGAACTTGTAAGTTCCTGTAAGTTTCACTAAGCGGAAGGGGAGTTAAAGTTTCACATTTTGTGGAAATGTTTGCGGAAGTGCTAGTCAACGTCTACGATTCCCCTCAGTACAGGATATGGGGGCTTGTAAGGTCATTGTGAAAATAAAACTGTAAAGTCTAAATAGATGATTATATATAGTGTGGTATATTTTATTTGACTCAAAATAATGCATGGAAAATACATCATCTATGGCCAATATACATTACTTTATAAACAAACAAATAACAAATAAACAAACACTGTAAAAATATTAAATAAATGTTAAAAAAAATGTTAAATATTAAAAGTTTAATTTTTGTTTTCTGATAAAATATCATTGATGAATTTTCCCAGGCTGTTGGTAATGAAACCATCATTTGAACTTAAAATTTGTTTCAACATGTTTTTTCTGATAATGTTAGTAGACTATTATACAATGACAAAGTATTAATAAATTGTGTACAACTAGTTATTAACCTTTGGTTCTTACAAACCAATAATGCATTTATTTCATCACCAATCGCCTTGTCTTTGTATCTTATCCTTTCAATTGGCAGTGTATGAGCAGAGATTCTAAATTTGGTTTATATACTTGTTCTATGACTAATATTTTTTACAAGTTCTAGATATGGCTCAAATTCATATTTTGATTTAAATGTCTTGTACGTGATTTACACACAATATATATACAGTGAGCTTTATTGTCAAGTATTAGAAGGCTGGACGCCAACACAAGATGTTCCAAATATTGCTTTACTTCCTCAGTGGCCACTACTTCTACATCAAGTCTTAGAAGTATCAGGGCAGGAAGTTAGCAAACTTGTTCACTAATTCACCAACCACTTTGGTTTTGACTAAAGCAGAAGATCTACAATTTATTACCCTTCATTTTTTCGCCATTGAATGCTAGTAATATTAGTACATAGAAAATAGTTTATTCAAGAAGTTTATGAGAATTTACAGGACTGAAACGGATGCAAACTTGTTTGCGATTGTCTGTTTAATTTATCAGTGATTTAGTGAGCAAGTTTACTAACTTGCTGCCCCAATACTTGCGAGACTTGCTGTGAAAACAATTGTCAAGATGATGTTGTTGAAAGATTTAACAGTATATTTCCATGAAATAATTTATAATATTTATAGGAAATTTAAATATTTATAATTAAACAAGCAAGTGTTTGATTCATTTATAAAAATAGTGCCAGGATAATGTTTCTCAAAACTAACAATATTTTTGGAAACCTACTGGGCTACCAGTTTAAAAAGCTGGTAGTACATGTACCTATGCTTCATTAGAGGTAGTCCATCAGGTTTGAAAAGCACTTAGAACCATTCAAACAATGTATGTACATTGTAAGACACTGAGGGAAAACTGGTGAATATGATAACACAGTGTCATTATTCTTTAAATTCTGGCCACTGAATTTAGAAAATGATAGCCCTTGGACAAGAGTTGCTTCTTGGGCTACTGATAATTTAGTGCTCTATGATGTCTATCGCCTGCTCAGTGTACAGAATAAAATCACTTTCAATCCCCAAATCAATATTTAATACCTTCATTTCCAAAGTCTTTTTTATGAATTGTATAAAATATTTCACTGGAAAGCAACTGTTTGTTGAGATGTTTTGATTTGTTTTGTTGTTTACTACTAAAGCACAAAAAAAATAATCAGTATATTATTCAAATTACATTTAGATTTTGACAAGCTGTCGGCTGATTTCGGCACGGTATTATCCAATGTACAATTGCATTTCATCTACTGTTTGTACAAATTTAATAACTCCGTCATACCCAAACTATATGAAAATGATAAATGATGTACATATACAAACAAATGTAGTTTATTTAAAACTATTTAAGATCAATGCATTACTTGTAATTAAACTAGGCTTGTTGAATGCACAGTGAGCAAATAGTTTACATATTGACCATATACTGTTGTGTTGTATTGTTTCGTACATGCAAACAACAATACTGCCAGCTAGGTTGTTGACTGGTATGTTCTCCAAGCCCTGAGATTGTTACATGTTTTTAACTAGTTACACAAGCAAGTGAATATATTCAATTGAAATGGTTGTCTGTCTTCTGTTGATCTTCAATATTTTTCTCAGTATTAATTTGACTGGGGACGGTTGATTCGTGCCACAAGTTTATTCATCCCAAAGTTGATTCGTCAGATTTAATTAAGGTTAGCCCACTATTAACAGCTTTCTCAAAGATGACAGCAGGCTGAATCCCAGTCGTTTATTATACATATCACATTTTGCAGTATGTTAATTTGTTGATCCTCAAACCGAGGATATATTCATATTTCAAGATTATAGCGTAATTGATTAATGTTTTTTAAAAATGGAATGAATATGAATTGGGACGAATGTGAATTAGAACGAATCAACTTGTGGGACGAAAATGTATTGGGACGAATGGACTTGTGGGACGAATGTGAATTGGGACGAATTGACTGTGAATCAATTTGACATCTTTGAGGTTGGTTTGATTCAACATGTAACAGTCTTGTGACACGCACAGCAAACCAGCCAGCAACATAAGTTGCAATGTTTCAGGCAGTATGTCTGAAACAGTATAGTGCCTCAGTCATCATCTTGCTACGTCCATTTTGAACTTTTATCACATATCATTCTCGCAAATCAATACCATGACAGTTGTAACTAACCCAATTCAGACCATAGAATCTATGTAGAACATATAATCATTTTTAGCTAGCCATCTATTTTCAATAGATGCTATCTGAAGCAGGCGAGCGATTAAATATTTTAACACACATTCGTGTTCTATATGTTACCCAAGACCCATATTGAACTTGACAAGGTGCAAAGACTATTATAATAGTTTAAAATACAATTTCAGTATATGGTAAATAACCTTGGTGATATATCAGTTTGGGATGTTTTCAAAAACTGCAGTCAACAGATCAAATGAAAAGGAATAAATGAAACCACTACAGACTTGTAATAATGTTTATCATTAATATCTTTCAACATGTCTCCCGTAAAATGCACTGACCAAACAACAAAACCAATTTTATTGGTTTATAATAATAGGAATCTCACCTACTAGTATTTAGTGATCTGTTCAAACTATGATAGTTGTGTGTATTTTGTAAAGAAAACTTAGACATTCATAATATAGGACATAAATGTTCAGATGAGACTGCTGCTCTGAAAATACAAGAAAAGGATACTTAGATTGTTTAATAAAAAACCAGTACCCCGGTACATACTTGTTCAGTATAGATCAGATCTAATTCTGAATTCATTAGTAACTAGGGTGACTACATGTAGATACATAAAATTCAGATTTTTAAGCAAATAAGGAAGATTTGTGTGTTGAATATGGTTCAGAATGTGCATCCTTTAATTACCTAAGTTTAGATTTACTCTGATGTCATTATGTCATGGACAGTCATTGACTTGTGGTCTAGTTGCTCATTGTATCATTATTCTGAGGCTCCCAACTGAACTCACACATCTACTTTGACAACTCTGTTCTAATATGCAATTTCATACAAGTATACTGTATTTGCTCTCTTCCGATAGTAGTATATATGCGCTTATGTAAATTACAGATGTGTTTCTATGGTCAAAATAATATTTTGATGATCCAGTATGGAACAAATGCAATTCTTGGTTTACATGTTTGAGCATATATGATAAATATTGGTGTTTATTTGTAAATAAATAGAATTTGAAACTGTATGTCAGTAGTTACAGTATACAATCAGAAGGAGAAATTATATAAATGTTATAATATTTATCTATCATGTTTTATCCTGGGTATTTTCATTGTATTAAGTAAAGTCATGTAGTGTCATCTTATATAGAAAGAAGAGGCTTATCTTTGTTTACTGTCACATACCGCAGTGATGTTCATGAATACAAACATTGCCTGACCAGTCGCAGTGATGTATTTAAGTTGGACATTGACATGTGCTCTGTTGACGTTTGGTTTCCTGTGACGCATTATTGGGGTATGGTACATGCAGGTACATATGTAATGCATGCATATTTATTAATGCGTAGGTACATGCACATAGTAAATTGTACCTGGTATCAAAACAATAAAGTTGTGGGTTCTAAACTGGTTCTATTAACCTTTGTTTTTACAGTTATACTACTTTTTGTCTCATCCCCATTGTTCTAACTATGTTTCTTACTTTCGTTAGCGGACAGTTTCAACCTAATTAATTATGCATTCCTGTTAACGGTACTGTTTTATCAATGGATTAACAACCCAGGACTGTTAATAATGAATGAGTTAATTTAAATATTCATGAGCACAACAGGAGTGGAAAGCTGATTAACATAACAGGTGGCCACTGAATGAAAACAAAGAACAAGGTGGAATTTTCATTAATTATTTAAATATGCAATGACAATTATACGATACATTTTAAAAACGTATTTCAAGTTTCATATTTCCTTTTACAAAATTCACGGACACTTGGGAAGAATCGGTTATGACAGTGGTATTAGATTTGTCCTCATCTGTTGGGGTGGTGGATATGTCATGCGTTTTCGCTTCTTT